GAAATCTCATTTAATTGTTTATTAAAATAACGAAAAAGAAAAAATTGGAATCTAAGTGCAACATATGATTATAAGTTTCATTTTTTTTTTTCGGTACAAGATTATAAGTTTCATTTAATTCACTACATGTTACATGTAGATAACGCAGATAAGATTCGTCTATTAAAGACTCGAGTTCAATTCTGTCGAATTTATTTGATAAATAGCCAAACTCAGAACTTATTTAGTTAACGGGTCAAGTTGGATTCGACTCTTTAAGGCTCGATAATAGGATTTTTACATAATTTTCTTAATTGTTATATAATTGGCTCGTTAAAAGTTCTATTGGCTCGTTACACTACAAAAAATGTTATATTCTAACGAAAAATTTTACAATAATATATCCCAATGGCAATTCCAATGGTATAACTTCTGTTGGAATTATTCAAACGAAATTTCCAACGAAAATATTCCGTTAAAATGAGATTTCTATTGAAATTTTAGATGGAATTTATGATTCAAACGACTATTTTTCCAACAGTTTTTTACCGCAGGAATTTCCGTTAGAATATGTAATTTCCGTTGAAATTTTATTTCCACCTCCGATGGAAAATCTACCTTTGGAATCTTCAAAATCCAACGAAAATTCCAATAAGAAACTCCAACTGTATATTTTTAGTTGGAATTTTCGTTGGAATTCCATTAAAATTTATTTGTATTGGAGTTTCCATTGGAATTTGATCATTTTGTTGTAGTGTTAGAGATTAAGTTCGTCTCATTAAAGTGAGAATTTGATTCGTTAATATTGATAAATGGGTCGAGTTCGAATTCGTTTAGTTAGTATTAACTTGGCTAGATAAAAGGTTTGAGCTCAAACTCAAACTCGTTTATAAGCTTGCTTAGCTAAGATTGCTTAGTTCAGCTCGATAAATGCTTGAGTCCAAGCTCATACATCAAAAGCTCATCTCTAACTACAATACTTCAATTTTAACTCAATGTTCTCCTCATCAAATAAAAAGTTGTCAACTTTATCTTGAACCGTTTGGAGAATTTAAATCTAAGCAAGTATTGTTGGTGGATAAATAGGATAAACATGAATACAAAATAATAGAAAATTTCAATCCATGCCTACCTCTCTCTAATAATGTTTCTATAATGGGATATATGATGGGGCTTTGTTCATTG